AGCCTCAGCCCACAAGGCTCACCCAGCTAATCCAGATTTCTGCTGCCACCCGCTGCACCACACAGCCAGTGTCAGGTGGAGCCCCTACTCAAGGGTGTGAGAACCCCCTGAATTTGTGCACATCCAGCTGTTACCCCTGGGCAGCTGTGTGCAGATATGAGTCCCCCTCACTGTCTTCTGCTGCTTTGAAGAGGTGAACCCTTGTCCTGAGAGTTGTCCTCAGGCCAGCAGAGGGGAGTGTGAATCCCTGAGCCCGCCCCAGAGGAAGGAGGTCTTCTCTAACCCGTCCTTCTGTCCAAGCCCTGTGGCAAGCCCAGGTGGGGTGCACAGAGGTGCTGCATCTCATCCCTATCTGGTTGACCTGGCTTTAGAGCTGTGTCCTGCACAACCTAATTCAAATCCCCTAGGGTTTTTTTTCCCAGCCTGCTCCCTGTCCACAGTTGTTTCCCATGGTTGGTACTCCCAGTCAGTGTGAGAAGAAAAGACTGGGACCCTGAAGTGACTCTAGAACCTGAGTCCCAAGCTCTAGCAGTTGTACCATTGACCCAGTGGCTACTACGCTCATGCTCTCTCCAGGGAAGGGTATCACAGGTCCTGCATTTGGAAAACTGACAGCCTTAATTTCATTAGGACTCTGCGGCAGCAGAGCTGTACATTGGCCATAATTTCAGCAACTTCCAGGCCACTGAAACAGTGCCCTTTCTCCCTGGGATTCCCTGAACCCCCTGAGCTTCCCTTTCTTTCCACACAGTCTCTCTCTGCAGTGCATCAGCAGCCGGAGAGAAAGGCCAGACCATTTGCTGTTTCTCCACATTGCAGTCTGTCTCTTCAGCTTTTCTTCCTGTGAGCTACTTCCTGATTCCTGGATACCTTCTTCTCCATTTCCTTTTGTTTCTTTTTTGGGTCCTCAGGTTGTTATATTTCAGTATCTTAATTGCGAATCCATTGGAGGCTGAAGTGCTACTTCTCACCACTCCTTCGTTCTGCAGCACAGAACATCCGAAGGTCAACCACATTCACATAAAGCAGGTCAGCCACAGAGCCTGGCTCCCCTGTTCTCATCCCAATATTCCACTGACAGTGTCTGTATGTTAACTGCTGCCATGTATGCTAATTTTGTGGGGGTGGTGAGAGGACTAGGTGATGAGAACAGTGATCAAGTGGTGAGCACAGGTGAGGAGAGGGAGCTACATGTGGCCAGCAGGAAGAGGAGCCCTTCCTGAGGATTACGGGTGTCCACTGTCCAAAAATAACAGATCCCCTGGAGGGTGGCCATTCCCTGGGCCCATCCCTGTAAGGTTCGTAATTGGCATGTGCACTTCTGACACAGGACTGTGCTTGAGGTCTATAGCCTGGGGGCCTCCATGCTTTTTCCAGGAGCTTCAGGGGCTAGGCAGTGAAGGTCTGGGTCTCAGGCAGTGTTCTGGGCTCACACAGAAGAGGAGCCCCAGGCATCAGGGAGAGGTGCATGCCTTGAGTGTGTACCTGGGTTTCACCTCCCATTGGACAGTGGACGCTGCCTGAGCCTAGGCCCCACAAGCCGCAATTCCTGTCCTAGAGCTGTGACCTAGGCAGCAGTCTCCAGTCCTGTCCCAGGTTTTTGGGGATAAAGCGTCCAGGAAGACAGAAAGCCACAAGGCCCTATAGCACCACCCAAAGGACTGTAAATGTCCTGTGTGGGAGTGGTCCTCTCAGCTAAGGACACTCATAGTCTCCCTGTCTCCTGCAGGTATCTGAGTCCTCATTGCCAATCTTTTCCCATCACCAGGAGCTTCAGAACATCTTCATAGTCAGAGGACCAGAAGCACCTCAGGCTGTGACACAAAGTTGTCCTCAGCATCCACAGGGCATCTTCCTTCCCTGCACTACCATGGCCTCCAGTCAAAGCAGCCAATACAGTGAGGGCACCGAAAGTGACCATGAGGAGTGTCCATGCACCTCAGCGGACCCAGAAGGTCCTCAGCCCCTTCCTGACGAAGTCTTGTACAACAAGATCGATGAACTGATGGAGTTCCTGCTCCTCAAGTACAGCAATAAGGAGCCGGCCACCAAGGCAGACATGCTGCATGTTGTCCGGGGTTACGAGGAACACTTTCCTCTGATCCTCAGCAAAGTCTTTCATTGCCTATATATGGTCTTTGGCATTGATGCTGAGGAAGTGAATGCCCCAGGGCACACATATGCCCTGGTCCCTGTCCTGGGTCTTACCCATAATAGAGAAGTGGGTGGTGAGCAGGAAATCCCCAAAACCAGCCTCCTGATACTCATCCTGAGTATCATCTTCATTAAGGAGAACCATGCCAGTGAGGAAGTCGTGTGGGATATGCTGAGCAGGATGCAGGTGTTTGATGGGACAGAGCATGACATCTATGGGGAGCCCAGGAAATTCCTCACTGAGGATTTGGTTCAGGAAGGGTATCTTGTGTATCAGCAGGTGCCTGACAGTGACCCTGCTCGTTATGAGTTCCTGTGGGGCCCTCGGGCCTACACTGAAACCTCCAAGATGAGAGTTTTGGAGCACTTGGCCAAGGTCCATGGGTGTGATCCCCAGTCCTACCCACGTCTCTATGAAGAGGCCTTGGAAGAGGAGCAGGTGGCTCCCCTTGCTTGAGGGCAGTCAAGGCCACAGCTGGGCTGAGGTGCGCTCAGGGACAGGCCATGCCCCAGCACTACCTTACCAGCAGAGCTCCCACCCGTGTGTAGGGAGGGCCGGTTGATAGTCTAAGGAGAGGAGGCAGTTATCTGAGGAGAGAGGGCCACGGTAGGATGGGAAAACCCATGTCTTTTGATGTCTGTTCTGTTCAGGTTACTTGGAAATGGACCTGTGAGTTTTCAGGAATTTCTGAAATCTCCGTCCTGTCTTGTAAGCGTGAGGAATGCATGCTAATTATATGAAGCATGACATTGACCTCACATGAGTTTTTAGTTTTGTGATATTGATGGCTGGTTGTGATTATGTGAATTTGTTTTTGTGGGACACTGATCACACCTGTTTTGCTCTTCTGTTCTAAGTGAAAATCTCTGCTGTTTTGTAAACCATTTTTTTGTGTGTATGTTAAGGGCCAAGATTGTGCCGCATTTGAATAAGTACTTCTTTGGAAAGATATAAGAAGTTTACATCCATCTAGATGTAAATGTATAAGAAGATTACATCCATCAGAAATAGGCATAAGGATAAAAGTCAATTCTTGGATTGTAATTTCTTATTCTCTTGTTTTTGTACACTATTAAAAATATACATATACCTGAACTTTCCCAGCTTTTTCCATTATACTGGAGCAATTTAGTGTTACTAAACAATATTACCTGCGCACCTGCACACTGACCCCAACCCTTCACTGCCCTTTTGCCCTTTGGAAGGCTCTGTGTCTCAGGTGGGGATGTGAGTACTCACCACTGAGCAGATCAAACTACCCCTGGGGATTGTGGACTCCAGCAGCACCAACAATGTGCAAGATAGAGAGATGGCCTCCAGGACCTCATGGCCTGCCAAAGAGCCCTGAGAGGAAGAGGTCTAGCAGAGAACACCCATGCCTGAGTGCGGGACCAGAGGATGTGGTGCTGTGTGTGACTGCAGTTCCTTCTGCAGGAGTTGATTTAATGCAGGTACAAGGGGGCCAGGGCCAGACCCTCAGCGGAGGTATCTTGGGCCTGAGATGAAAGCCAGAGAGGATGGAAGATTGCCTTAGCAGTGTTTTCAGATGGTGGGTGAAGCTGAGAGGAATCTTCACCTGGAACAGCCGTGAGATGAGCGGTCCTGTGCAGGGCATGAAGCAGGGAACTTACGTGCAGACTGTGCAGCATATTCTCAGATATGACAGGGACTCTCAGGGAAAGTGGGGCCCTAATGTCCCTGGACAAGTACTCTGCTCTCTGCAGGGAGGGTCCAATTTCCAGAGGCTTGCAGTGCCCTGGATAAACTTATACACTTTAGTCCCCTTTGCCTGAAGTCTCTTAGAAGATGGCGGTCTACATCTGGCCATTGTCATGGGCCAGGTACACACGGGGTCCGAAGGCTGCCTGACCAAGAGGTTCTCCCTCCAGGGAGCCTTCCCAGAGTTCCTGGGAGCATTCCGCCTGTCTTGTAGCTAAAATAACCTGAGACCTACTGAGCTTGGAAACATCTCAGGATCCCTGTGTGGTAAATGGCAAGGCCACCAGTAGATTCTTATTGCGAGGTCATGGAGAGGCCACCTGTTTCTGAGCACTCTCCCCAACCTGAACCCAGCTCTGCTTCAATTTTTTTTTTTTTTGTGGTACCGGGCATTGAACTCAGTACCCTACGCTTGCCAGGCAAGTACTTATTCTACTGAGCTATCTCCCCAGCCCCTCTGCTTCAGATTTATTTACACACTTAAAAGTTTGAGAATAGCTCTCAGGATGTAGAACGACCCTGAATCCAAGGCTATGAAACCTGGCCTGAATTTGGAATGTAAAAATGAGGTGATAGGTGCATTCTTCTGGGGAAACTGCCCTGAGTCACCTGCCCTCAGCCACGTCATGTAGAAGGCCTTGCCTGTCCCTGTGCTCACCCTGGAAACCCTCTAACAGCAACAGCCTTTTTAATTTAAAAGTTAACTTTGGACTGTGATGTTCAGACCATGGGTTGTGTACCTGAGAAGCCGTACAACGCATGCTGAAGCTTTCCCCAACCGCAGCAAATTGTTTGACACAGCGCATAATCTACTTGTCTTGGCCGGGAAATTAGGACAGTTGATGAGGCCAACTTGATATTTGTATAGGATTTTAAAGGAAGGAGTTACTAGAAAAATTCCATTGGAACACATATGTAGGTGCATGAGCTTATGTGGGTGGCCAAATGCCAGAGTTCCTTGAGAAGCTGGAGGTGAGGCAGGGCCACACACTGTAGAACAGCTGAGGTGGAATTCCAGACCCTGAGGTCCCCTATGTAGGTGCTACGTGCTTCTTCGCTCATCTCAAAATAAGTATAAAAGACATCTTTCTCCAGTCTCTGGTGCGTGCCTCCCCCCACCCAGGGGAGTCCTACTTTGCAATGTGCAGGGTAGTACTGGTCCTGGTGTTCACACAAGGACAGTCACATGCAGCAAAGGAAAAGCACACAGGTTAGTAGACTGGCCATGGGGTCACAGACAGGAGAAAATCCTCAGTGTGTTACAACTAGAGGTCATTGTGCAGGGGAGAACAGATGGGTGCTGCTGAGTGGGGAACGAGATCCCCGCCTGCTAATGCTTGTACAGTGAAAGGAGACTACTCTGTGAAGCAGCTGTCATACGGTAGGTGCGCTCAGAAAGCTGGGGGAATTCCCACACTGCGCTCACTCTGTAACTCTTCCCAAAAGGAAAGAACCTTAACAAATCAGAAGTGCTGCATTTGATTGAGCAGCTGCTTTGTAATCACCAAGAGTGACTCTACAAGTCCTCACACCCACACAGCTTGTCTTGCCCAGTATTTTAGCCGTGGGACCATGACAGTCCACTTGTCCTCAGGAGGGGGCATTGGATGGCCCTGTGCCCCTGAAAGACTAGCAGATGCATTACCTATTTTTTAGAGCCATTTCTCTAGGAGGTGCTGAAGGACAACTGGATTAAGCCCCATGCCCATCCTCCCAGCACACAGAACCCTCTGTGTACACACCTCCAAGTCTCAGCCATGCCTGTTGGCTCCCTTGGACAGGAGCAAGCTGATTCTGAACCCTGTAGAGTTACTTTCATGTCACGCACACACTCCAGGCTGCTGAGCACCTGTCCATCCCGTAACAGTTGTGATGTCCTCCCTAATGTGAATGGCAGGTGGTGGCCAAATTGCCCAAGTCCCTGTGCTGACTGGAGGTTTCCTTGTCCTGTAGCTCTGTCTCTTTGTTCCACCCTCTCCTCCCCTGGCCTCAGCCAACCCAGTTTGGAGCATTACACTCTGTCTCTCTACTGCCACCCACTCAGCTCAAGAGAGGACCTAGTGCTGATGTAACCTATAGGCAATTACTTATACCTGGAAGTGCATGGTAGGAATTAAGTTAGGAAGTTCTTTCTGTATGGTTCACAGGAGCTGAAGTGTGTGCCCGATGGCAATGTATAGAGAATGTAACTTTCCTTCCCACATGAGACCTTTTTAAACACACTAGGGCTTAAAAGTGGAGCTGAGGGCCAGTGAGATAGCTCAGCAGATTAAGTGCTTGCTTAGGCAAGTGCAGGGGCCAGGTTTCAATCCCTGGTACCACATACCATGCTGTCCCAGCCCCCCCCCGGGGGGGGGGTGCTGAGCCAGCAGTAGAGTCTGGGTGTGGTGGTGCATGCCTGTAATCGCAGCACTAGAAAAGCTGAAACCAGGTCAATCACTGCGAGTTCGAGCTGCATAGTGGACCCTGCACACACAAAAGTTGAGCTGACAACAAACGCTTCACAGCCAGTCAGCAAGTTTTTAGGAAATTAAAGCAGTTCTCCCAAGAAAAGATCATGTACAAATACTGTGTTCTCTGTGCTGCAGCTAGAAAAATATAAGAGAAGTCGACTGTCCCAGAATGTCCTGGTAGGACCTGTGTTGTTCTTTGTAGTGACACAGGCCACTTAGGGTCATATGCTTAATTTGTTTGCTTGTGCATGACCAAGTCAGAAAAGGCCATGATTTTGGCAAAAAAAGAAAACAAATACTGATTGGAAGCTAGCTCTGGGAAGGCAGAAGAGCTTGCTTGCCTCGGATCACCATCTCAGCTCCCGCAGGTGGGGGAGGACTTTCGTCGGTAGGAGCAGAGGGAGGGAGTGCAGAGATCTCTGCACTTTGGCACTTGCAGCCATCTTTAGGTCCTTCAATGCTTTTTTTTTTCTTTTCTTTATTTTTTGGAGGTACCAGGGATGGAACTCACAACCTTGCGCTTGCCAGGCAAGCACTTATTCCCCTGAGCTATCTCCCTGGCCCCAATCTCTGCTTTCTTAAGGGAAGGATATGAGGCTGCGGGCTCCTGGAGCTGGGGACATCTGCATGCTCTGTCACTCCTTTGGGGCTGAGAAGAGGGCATGTTCATCACATACCCAGCAGGAGGAAATCTGGATCAGTTGCTCATCTCTAAAAGAAAAGAATCAAACCGTCCGAGTCACACTTTGCAGTCAGTGCAGGTTAGAGTAGCACAGGTAGAGGTGGAACACGCACCCCCTCCCTCGGGGCTCTAAGCCCTCTCCAGGCTGTGGACAGTGGCCTTGCCCACTGACCTCAGAAAGCAGGTGTGGGATCTCAGGATCTATTTGCAGATTACTGGTCCACCTCTCCCTTCCTGTGATGCAGGGGCATCTGTGCCTTCTGAGGAGCAGAGGCATTTAGCTTTGCCAAGGCTGTAACTCCTGCCTATGCCGGCCAGTACCAGAGCGGGAGGTCCCAAGACCGGCAGGTAAGAGCTGTGGAGGGGAGCCTGAGCATCGGTCTAGTAGGCAAAAGATCCAGGGCTTGATTGATCCAGTCCCAGCACAAAAGGTAAAAGTGCTCAGGTGGAACACAAGCTTGAAGTTCACTGGGGCTCTCATTTCTCTTTAGGGAAGTTCTCCCCTTAAAGAATTAGTATACTTAGGCAGCCAGTCAGCTACCACGTGTTGCCCTTTAGCCTTGACATGTGCTTAGTGTTATTGGGGAGCCACAATTTGAATT